GCCGAATAAATCATATCTAAAATGTACAAAATATGATGAGCCTGTACTTGTCATTTATCACTCCATTCATATTTTTTGGATTTGCATATACAGAGTGACCCAAAAAAATTAATGAATGCGTAAATATATTTTATTGATTTAATCAGGAACTACAAAACCGAATGCTCTGAAATCTTGCAGATGTTTTAAGGTCATAAAGAGCATAATAAATGTTTAGTCAAAATATATTTGCTTATCCCCTCCAAAAACTTGATGACGTCAGCTCGAAAATTTGCCGAATAAATCATATCTAAAATGTACAAAATATGATCAGTCTGTACTTGTGATCTATCACTCCATTCATATTTTTTGGATTTGCATATACAGGGTGATTCAAGAAAATAAATGAAAGCGTAAATTTATTTTACTGATTTACTCAGGAACTACAAAACCGAATGCTTCGAAATCTTGAAGATATTTTAAAATTATCATAAGCATGGTAAATTTTTGATCAAAACGTATTTGGTCGTCCCCTCTAAAAAATTTATGATGTCACCACAAAATTTTGCTGAAAAAATCCTATCTAAAATGTACAAAATATGGTGAGTCTCTTCTTGTGATTTATCATTCCATTCAAATTTTTTCGATTTGCATATACAGGGTGACTCAAAAAAATTAATGAAGGCGTGAATATATTTTATCGATTTAATCAGGAATTACAAAACCGAATGCTTTGAAATCTTGGGAATATTTTAAAGTTATTATAAGCATGGTAAACTTTTGTTCAAAATGTATTTGTTCATCCCTCCTAAAAAAATTGATGACGTCACCCTTAAATTTTGCTGAATAAATCCTATCTAAAATGCAAAAAATATGATGAGTTTGTACTTGTGATTTATCATTCCATTCATATTTTTTAGATTTTCTTAAGAGGTGGTTCAAAAAAATTAATGAAGTCAATTTATTTTATTGATTAAATTAAAGGCAACACTTATTATTAGTATTACACCCCAACCAACCCAATTTGGTAGACACAAAATTTGTTAAAGGAAAAACTCGGTTGAAACATAAGGGTAGCACGCTTATTTACATCGACTTTAACATTACAGACCTGCATTTGTTTTATGCGTTCACTTGATTCCGCGAATGTGAAATAGACATGTTTATAATCAACCAATTGTGAATTTCACCGTCAAGAATTAAAATAAAACCCAATGTTTTATATAATAAGCGGAAGTCGAAGCAATAAAACCGAGAGTCGTTTTGTTTACAGTTTCTCTCTTTGACTCTCACGTATGCTGTTACGCCTGTCATCTTAAATTAAGAATGTTTATACATACACAATTTTCAGTTGCCTCTGATACGTAGGTATACGTGAGTAAATTGTTTCGTTATTTTATTGATTATTACAAATCAATATTCAAACGACCCAATTCATTTTTCCGAAAATTTGAGAATATAATAATTTTATTCTTAGTATTACACTACATCTATCCCAACTGATATACGTGTCCTTGCAAAAATGTTGATGACGTCATCGCAATTTTTTTTTAATTCCCACTACAAAAATGTAATGAGAAAAAAAACACAATAGGCATGCAGTCGTCAAGTTTCCGACAGCGAGGGAAGTACTGTCTAAACTCTTTAGACCAATTTTTTTAGGTGGGCCACCCTTATCACCTAGGGGTATAAAAAATGATTTACGACCTATTCTCAGACCTACCGAATATAGACAGAAAATTTCATAAAAATCAGTCAAGCCGTTTCGGGGGAGTTTGGTTACACACACTGTGACACTAGAATTTTATATACTTATTAGAAGACAATGAATTTACGATGTTTTTCGTCAATTGATTCAAAACCACCAAAAGATCAATATCTTGACGTACTATTATGAGATAAAAATAAAAAACCAAAAACTCGGTTATTTGCATTTTTCGCATAAATTTTGAGGTTATGGAAAGAAAGTGTAAATACAAAAGTTGTAGATCTTTTTATTACCTATAACTTTGCCATTTAATTTTTTGCGATAGGACTTGTAGTTTTGCCGGAAATCGAATTCCACTTCCCGACCTCAGATCGCCCGTAAATTATGTTTCGTTTTGTTTTTGTTATATTTTCTTCCTTTTCCAATGGGTATCATCCTGTCCTAATTTTTTTTCACTTTTTACCATTTTCAAAGGCTTCGGCACTGGCCTAAAAAGCACATGTAGAAACCATAAGAATTTCCATTCGGTTCTCTGTGCCTGATGTTTTACCAAATCAAATTTTGTCTTGAACGTTGCCTTACAAATTTCTTACCATAAAATTTCCTTCTAACAAAATATTTTATACGACTATGTGAGCGTTTTCGCTGATAATGATAACACTTCTTTTTTAGTAAAAATAGTAAGGAACAGTTGTAATTGTGTCGCTCAATACTTAGAATAGAATATCCTTATATGTATAGTATATATAAAAATTAAAAATAACTGTTTAAACCTTTAGTTTAAAATATAGCATGATTTTTTAAATTTGTTTCAAGGGAAGAAGCTGGAAACAAGAGATGTGAGGGCGTATTTTAATTTGTTTAACCTCAATTTGTCTCAATGACAGTGACATTTATATAAAAAATAAACCACGCCCACGTCCTTCGCATCTTTTAAGTCCCTTATCCCATATTTGTAACCATAGCAGACTTTACCAGCATGCGGTGAGATAATGCAATCGCAAGTAATTGAGTAATCCATTTCGATAGCGGAAGGATAATAATATGTTTGTCTTTTCATACGATTTCTGTGTTATTAGGTTTCGAATTTATTATGTCGCGGACCAATTGTTCGGATCCGATTTGATTGTTGTCTCCCCTAATATATCGTACTCTCCACGCACATTTTTACCGTCGTCCTTTCTTTCGTCTTCCAACTACGCTTGCCACTGCTTCTGCATAACCTCTGCCAGGTTTTCATAATTGTCGCGCGGACAATTTACATGAATAAGTCGATTTCTAAGCTCTTCCTGCTGGGCCATGGCCATGGTAACTGCTCTATACAATACACAACAGGATGCAGGAATGAGAAACGAGGTGCGAACGCTCGCAGAAAAATAAAGCTCGAGGCAAGAAACAGCCTAGGGAATAGGCTTCAAGTGGCAGAAAGTCAGAAACTATTATCACAAATACACAGGCTCAGACATATAAGCTGTCTATCAAACTCAGACCCTCATATTTGAAAATCATTATGTGAAAATATATAGATATAAGAACCTAGGGACTGACATTTTAGACAAATAAGGATGATTTAAAACAAACACTATAAATGTACAATATTTGTGACCGAGATCGTATTGTACTTGGTTTTTGTGTATTTAACTATCATCATCAAGAATGAATTTACTTACTTGATAGTTGCCTAATTACACATCAACGCATGATGTTCCCCGAGTTTTGTAGAATCACTCATTTGTGTTTAATGTATGTATTTAATCAAAGTCAGAGTCTGACATTCTTTTATTATGTAGGGGAGACCCGGGGCGGTTTGGACAAGGGGATACAATGGACCTAACACCAGTTACGTTGAATGTTTTTTTCATATTTGAACAACAACACAATTAAGCATGAAAAATGTAGTTGACAAAGAAATTTGTTAATGAAAATGAATAAAAAATCTTGAGTGTTGAAATCGAGGTAGGCTACAGTAAATGGTAATTGAATAAAAGTCAAATTATAAATGGACCTATCTACTGAATAGTCGTAAAAGATACACCCCTATACAGCATACGCAGTCACCACGTACAAAGTTACCGCGTAATTTAAAATCTGGCAATGAGGAAAAATATAACATGACAGATGACGTAGGTGCGCGATTAGTTGCATACTTACCAATCTTAGACTCCCCCTTCGGAAGTAGACATATGTATTTTATGTAAGTAAATTATTCTTAAATTTTAAATATAACTTTATTTTCATCTAACATACATTTTAAAATGACTATTATAATAATTTGTTAATTTGTTGTACATATTCAAACAAAACTGAGAATCAAAATAAATTCTTTCAATATATAATTCTCTTGTATTTTTTAAAAAAATAACAAAATCACACCAAGTGAGTCCTGTAATTAACATTTGCCCTTGTATCTGATAGTAATAATTATGGGTCCTTTTTAGATATGTCTGGCCATTTTCTAACGCTAAGCAGAAATTTTTCATTTTTGCCGCCTCCTTAATCGTCTCCCACTTTTTGCTGTAAGGGCACTTAATTTCACAAAGTCCATATCCATGAACTTCATCAAATACAACGCCGTCAGGACTTGCACCTAGATGACTAGCAAATGGATGCACTACAAAGCCACACTTATACATTGTCCTTCGTGTTTCCTCCAAATACATGTTTTTTGCCACATCTTCATTTTCCACCCCATGCCTGATTGCCTTTACATTCGACAAATCATTATTCCCAAAAATGCTCTTTACATATTCTGCATTGAAGCTTCTTCTTTTGCAAATTTCCCCAAATTTTGAACTTGTTAAACGAAATTTTCGCTCATTATACCATGGTGCTGAAGAAGCTTGTTGTCTTGTTAATCGTTCTATTTCATAAGATTTGTCAAAAGAAATTTCTTCAATGGCATCTATGGGTGGTTCACTCAATAAAACATTTTTTGCTTCAGCATTATCAAGTGGTAGCTTTATAGGGATCACACCAACAATTTGAAAAAACACAATGAATAATGAATGACAAACCGATATGACTCAGTTGCCACCGATGGCAGGTTTACGCCGCACGTGGTCAGAACGGCGGTTGTTTTGAATTACACGATGTTGATTCGCTGTTTTAAAAACTGCGGTAAAGATCTTGGTTGTGTACCCAACATATCATGCGCAAACTTCTATCTCTTACTAACATGTAGTAAGCCTCGGTTGGTTCGTATTTACGACTATTCAGTAGATAGGTCCATTCTAACTCTATTTTTTGAAAAACAGATACGTTACAATTATACAAAATTTTTATTAATAATAAAACAAACTCATTCATAGTCAATATAATAAATATTCATTCCCCTCTATACCTCACAATATTATTTTCCGTTTCAAAAATCTCAACTTCATACAACAAATCAGGTTTCTCCATAACCCTTTTCATCTGATTCCAAACGAAAACTGTAAGGTTCTCAGTCGTACTGGGTCGATTCTTGAAATATTCAACATCTTTGTCTAAGTTTTTATGATCCAAAAGATTCATTATAGCTTGCTCCATGTACCTTTTCAGTTCAGTCATATTGAGTATCATCCCTGTTTTAGTGTCAATTTCCCCAAAGAGGGTTACTTTCACTAAAAGAAAAGCAAATTAGACATTTTTTATTTAATAATAGGGAAGAATGCAGACCCATATAATTGTGCCCATGACCATTTATGTGGTTACATTTTCCATAAACTTCCTCGTTTTCTGCTTCATCGAGAAAAGGGCTAAAACAATATTTTTGATCTAAATACTAATAATAAGGAAAATTGTACTGTACCTATTTAATCTATGACACGCAGAAAACGTCATTCTTCTGGTTTGGTAAGCTTTTGGGTTTCTTGTATCAACCATTGTTCTACAGCACTAACGACCATCTGATGGATGTGTATCACTTGTCTGTTGTGTTAGCTTTGTAGTTATGTACATTAAGGTCAACGAGGGATGCGCAGTACAAATTTAGTGTAGTAGACAGATTCGATATTTTGCTTTGCCGTTTTGATTTCGGAATCTTTCAAGGCCTCTTAGCAATATAATTGTACAGTATAGATATGTAACTAACGCATATACGTTAAATTAAATTTCATTCGGCGTTTATTTGTCTTCTTGTTTTTTTGCTAATTTGTACATCAGGTGTCAATAGTGAATGGTTCTTTAACAAAATAACGATCACTAGTTAAATTAATAATTTTTTCAGCACCCGCGTTATTTTTTCTCATAACTTTGATGAAGTTGTCTTTTTCCAAAATAGTCTGCTGAATTTCATCAATAACATTTTTTTGCCAAGAACCGGTCATTTTGACTTAAATTCAGCCACATTATATATTGTTGGAATTGCATATTTTGTATTGACTTCAGATATAAAATTTTCTTTTTTGAAGTGAAGCTGTTGACCAAGGATTAGACGGAAAATACAGTTTTGAACAACAACCTCGCAGATGTAAGCCCTTTTGCCAATTTTCAAGATGGATATTGCATCTGTTCTCTCCATTTGTTAAGTAATATCTTGTTTTCGGGGCATTTAAACAATGAGAAACCATTTGCTTCTGTATTTCTACGGTTACGTACACAGCATACGGCGCCTATTCTCTTCCACGTCTATGTACTAAATGACAATTACAAATTGTCAAAATATGACTCAAAACAAACCATCCGCAGCCAGCATAGTAAAATAAAATTTACCATTATTTTGACGTTTCGTGTCACAGCTCTTTTCCAAAGTATATCTAGGGACTCTAGTTAATACTATTCTAACGTTAGTAACTAAACTGTTGACAAGAGGATTTTTTTTTATAATAGTTTTAAACAAAGAAAGTACAATACTTGATCTTTGATAACAGTCACATGAGTTACGAGAATTACTAGCTATCAAATATAAATGCAGTCACTGAATACAAACATTAAGTACAAACAGTGGAAACTTGTGAACTCGAATTATTAACTTTAGAGATTATAACTTAACAATAATTGATTGATTATTACAAATGTTAGCAAAAATGTGGGTCCATAACAACCTTACTACGTTATTTGTTTTCGTAAACATTTGTTAAATGTCTTTTCTAAGTGTGTTTTCTTTTAAATTATCTATAGTCCAATTTGCAATGTGTCTTCCCTTAGCATCAGTTGTTTTTAGTGTTGGAGATAGAAACTTTTAAAAATATCTAGATACAGGTATAGATAGATATATGGAAGATAAAAGTATCTAGATACAGATTGTTTTCGATTTTTTCGAAATATATCTAGATAACAGATACAAGAAAACAGATACTTTTTGAAGCTTTGGCGAATAAAATAACTGAAAACATGTTTATGTATTCCGCTACTACACACCCGTTCCACAGGTGCAGCAGAAGGGATTGTGGTATTAAATTTAAAAAATAAATATTTTACTGTAGCATAGTTATCCAAGACTGAAAAATCTTTTCTTTTTTCCTGCAGATAGGCCATCGCTTCGCCGTTTTATGTATCGCAAATCGTGCAATATTTATTACGTACGCTTAAAAAGAATTTTTTTTTGTTTTTATTCCCATACTACAGTGTCCAAATTGTGTTTGAGTATATCTAATAATTATCTCCAGCATTAAAATTAATATTTCAAAAGAATACAGGAAGTGATTATTCTGTGCTGAAGGTCTGTTGTCGGCAACCTGTTATAAATTATTATTCTTCAATATCGGCTTACGATGTTTTTATGACGATTTCCGGTAATCGTCTATCCCGGTGCGGCAGGTATATACATTTTAGGAAGAATTGCTGGTTCCGTTTAAGGCAAAATAAGTACAATTTCTTAGAAAGATATTTAAACCCCTTATAGAATCAAGAGCTGCCTGGCAGGCCGGAATCACCATAGTGCACCTTTAAATTTTCAGATTTTTGTTGAAACTTATTTTATTTTAATCTCGTTTCACGATTTCTGAAAATATATCCCGATAAATTATTCTACCGAGGGTTGTAAAAATATTAATTTTATTGCCCAAGATTTACACTTAAACATAAATAATCGGCACATTCTAGGGCAAAACGGACCTGCCAAGCCCGCCTCGCGTTAGGTCCAACAATGAAGAAATGATACATGTGGCAACAGGAAAAGATGCTACATTTGTCTGAAAAATAAAGATATAAAATAGTAACAAATATGCGATTTATGTGAGAGAAATGTATGTATTGAACATTCGATTAGTCGATTACAAAACTAATTTGTGCTAATTGAAAAAATTAATCATTATGTAAGTCGCAATTATTATTTTCTAAAAATAATAACATACCTTAAACAAATATTTTTACTATTAAAATTACTCTTATTTAATAACACAAATACAACCAGCGGGCCTCCCGGGTTGCTCAGGTACACAGATAAAATGCATTGCCCCGACAAGCGTAAAACGCAGTGAATAATGAATTGTGGTTTATGGTTTTTAAAATACCATCTTAACATGGCTTAGATTTATTACCCCTCAGGATTATATTTAAAGATGGTATTTAAAACATGAAAATTTCCGTGACAGAACACTATCAGTGGATCTCTTACCTTTATTTTTGTTTATGTGACCAAAATCACCAACATAAAGTATCAAAAATTACTACTAGTATAACTCAACTAATAACTACTGAAAAAAAGTGAAATAAAAAATGTATCTGTATCTGCGCCATTAATTTTGTATCTAGATACAAAAAGATCTTATGTGCTTAAATTCGATTTTATCAAGATACAGATGCTAGATACCCAAAAATGTATCTAGATACTTTATTTAGATACAAGTATCTAGATACTGCCCAACACTGGATAAAAGCAACAAATATTGCTCCACTAAGGAGAACTAAGAACTATATATGGTTCCGCAATTTAAAGGAACCTGTGCACTAGGATCATTAACGGCCTGCCGCAACCAAAAACATTTAGTTCCGATTTAACCTCACTAAATATTGCCCAAACCGAGAGCGGCAAATGACAAGTAACTTCACGTTCCACTTCAACTTCCTTAACTAAATAAACGAAATAACTAATTTTTGACACTAGCAAAGCGAAAATCTAGATAGAATATGTCTATTTTTTTAGAAACTACATTATTATACAATCTAAAACATGTTAGTAACGTGCTGTTAAAATAGTGGAACGTTTTAGGTATTTCGAATTGAAACCTAACGTAAGTTCTAGGGTTCAGTCTGGGAACATTGAAACGAATATTTTTCAGGAAAATTGGACAAGTTATTTCTCGCTTAACAATTTTTGGCAAAAATATTTGCCTGGCTACATTTTTTTCTCGAGCAAAGTGTATTCTCATTAACTGAGATCAATAATAAATTCTGATGAATGTGACGATGAGGACATGAACCAAACAACTTTAAATGGTAAAATTTGCAAAACTTGCGATTAACGTTTTCTAACATACAGATGTACACATGTTGGTGAGGATTCCAAATTACACTACCGTATTCTAATTTACATCGAACTAAGCTGTAAAATAGGAGTCTTGTACAGTACAAATTAGAAAAATCTGCGGAGTTTCTAATAATAAAACCTAACGTTTTCAGAAATTTTAGAATTCAGACCTCTAATATTTTGGTATACAATAAAAATCTGTGCGAAACTGTTTGCGACATCACTATTTATCTGTTGGAAATAAGCTAGTTTTTTTTTTTAAAGTGACAATTTTGGGAATTCCATTAACATATTTCAATTTGATGCCTTTTTGAGAAATACGATCTCTGAATTCCTTTCTGACTGTATAGGCTATTTTGTTGCATTTTTGTAAGATCCTTATTGATATACTATATGGGTTTATTTTTTGACGTCTTATAATTTGACAATATATTGTAGGCCGGTGCAGCTGATAATAAAATAACCTTCACTGGTCGTATTTTTGATGGAATGATTTTCCCAAGACGAAAACATTTAATAATTGGAATGTTAGTAACTCCGGTGGTTGATATGAGTTCAACCACTTTAGTTAGGTCGTCGTTATTTTTGTTCCGGAAAATTACTTATTATTATATTTGATGAACGACGTTGCCGTCCCTCAATGTCGTCAAATAGTTCATTCATAGATGTGTGTTGACTGTTGAGTTGGATTGATAAGGTGATAAGCGATTCAGACAGTACATTACCGTTTTTAGAGATTTCTCTACCTCGTTCAATTCCGCCTTTAAATCCGATATCTCAACTATCAAATTACTTATTGTCGCTCGTACATTACAATGATTGCAAAAAAGTAGAATTTTCTATTAGGGAATTTTATACAGACCATCTCTTGCCGTGATAAGTGCACAAGTTCCGTGAAGCTGTGACTTGCAAAAATCCCAAGATATACGGTCATCATCTTTATGGATATTATATTGTAAATAAAAATTAAGGAAAAATGTAACTACCCTTCTTAAAAGGAAGCACTAGTGATAATAATAATAATTTATTGTTAATATCGTGCATTTGTATTTATAGAGCTCAAATTTAACATACCTATTTCCTAAAGTTGCCATTCTCATCCTATTTACACATAAATATTAAACAAACTAAGTTAAATATTTTCTTAACGATACATTGCAAGTCTAAAAAAATATATATATTTCACTTTTCCATCCGACTTCTCCGCAATTTTAACATTTCAGGCGTTGCACTTTTCAAATCGTAAGCCCACCCTATTTTTGCCATTAGCTCAATAATGGCGGTACTAACATTAGTTCTACAACTGCCTAATTCTCCTGCTTTATAGTCCCAAGGGAAAACATGATGATAATTGTGCCAGCCCTCCCCAAAAGAACAGATGGACACAAAAATATTTTCTGTTGGCTTTATGTCCCTAAAATTTTAACACATCAAAATTGGTTTTAAACATTACCTTATGACATACCTATTATAGGG